GCTATCTCTGTAACATGGTAACTGATACATTCATGGGGTGGTTTTCTAATAACTTGCTTTTTTGTATTTTTTTTCTGTGTCAATTCTTAATTATTCAATTACTTCTCAGTGCCATTTTAAAACATTTGATTACTAAAAAATTCAGTTACATTTACTAAGTTTATATATATGTATATATAAACCATATGTACTATAAATTTAAAAACATATATTTGAATTGAATTAAAATATGTCATTTAATATCTATTATATTAAATAAAAATATATATATACATATTTGGATTGGCTATAAAATGCTATGTATTTTATAGATTGTGGGATTTTTTTTTAATCCTTAGTCTTTAAACTGGTTTTATTGTCTACTTGCCCTTTGTTCTTCACATTAATTTTAGAATAACTTTTCAAATTCTTCAAAAAGTTTCTGTGGAGTATCAATTGGTATTGAAGTACATGCAAATTCAATAAAGGAGAATGACCATTTTTACAACACTGAGCCTTCCCATTCATGAACATAATATTTTCTCTACTTGTCCAAATCTTGATTTTTTTTGTCTTTTTTTTTTTTTTTTTTTTTGACAGAGTCTCACTTTGTTGCCCAGGCTAGAGTGAGTGCCATGGCGTCAGCCTAGCTCACAGCAACCTCAAACTCCTGGGCTCGAGCGATCCTTCTGCCTCAGCCTCCCGAGTAGCTGGGACTACAGGCATGTGCCACCATGCCCGGCTAATTTTTTATATATATATCAGTTGGCCAATTAATTTCTTTCTATTTATAGTAGAGACGGGGTCTCGCTCTTGCTCAGGCTGGTTTTGAACTCCTGACCTTGAGCAATAGGATTACAGGCGTGAGCCACCGCGCCCGGCCTTTTTTGTCTTTTAATAAAATATTTTTTCTCCAAAAAATTACTTTGTTTAATCGATTCTTAGGTATTTTATGTATTTTTTGATATTCTAATGAAAGGATACCTTTAACAATAGATTTTCTGAAGGACAAGGGGAGTTTTCACATGTTTATGTTTATCTTCTATCTAGAAGACTTACTCAATTCTCTCATTAGAGAGAATCTAAATCTAAAGAGAGTATCTAAATTGTGTTTGCATTATCTGTTACTAGTGGCAATTTCCCCTTATTGTTTCAATTTTTAAAATTCCTCGATGTTCTTTTTTAATTTGTTTAGTTAATATTGATGATACATGAGGTTTAATAGAGATGATATAAGCACCCTTGCTTTGTTCCTGATTTAAAAAGGATAAGTCTAAGATTTTACCATTGAGTATAATAATTACTGTAAATTTTAGCCAAATGTCTGGAGAAACTTCCTCATATTACTAGTAGTGCTAGTAGTTTGCTATCAATTTTGAATAAAAATTAAGAGTAGAATTTTATAAAATGCTTTTTCTCTGTGGAGATAATTATATTATAATATGATAGCTTAAAGTAGATCACATTAATAGATTTTCTAAAATTAGTACATCCTTTATTACTGACTAGACTCAATCATAAAAGGTGTTTTATGACTTGATTCACTTGATGCATTTAATTAGTGTTTTTGCATATGTGCTTGTAAGTTTAATTAACCAATACTTTTGCTGATTCTGTCATTGCCCAGATTTAATACCAGTTTTCCTAGTATCATAAAATGAGTTGTAATTTTTTTCTTCATAATCTGGAACAATTTGTGTAAGAAGGAATTATTTATTCATCGAGGGTGTTTTTCTGTGAGTATACATTGAAGTTCATGGACATGAGAAACAACAAATAGTTTAAGCCATTGAGATTGTAGAATTAATTTGTTATCAAAGCATGGATTTTACTGTTCTGATTAATTTTATAGTCAGATCCCAATTGAATTTCTGTTGTTATTTTTAATATGAGACTCTGTCCCTCAATTAATGGTTTAAATTTATATCATTTGCTGTGATTGTTCTTATATTTGGCCAATATAAGTTCAATATGAGACTTTCTTTTTACCATCTTTTCTTTGCCTGTTTTTTCCAACTTTCTGCCTTCCATTGCATTGTTAATGATTAACTTACTCCTCCCTTTTCACATTTGTCTTGTTTGGAGATTATTCATCAATTTTCATTATTTTAGTGATTGGCCTTAAATTTTTACATGTTTAGTTCTCTAAATTTAACCAGTATATCTCCACTTACTCTAAAAAATTCAAAGGAAATTAGAAATTTTTACTTCAATCACTCTCAAATAGTTGTTGTCTAGAATTTTTATTCTTGTGATTTTTATTATTTAAACAATTCATCTAACAGTCTAATTTTATCCAAAAGACAATTTAGTTACAAACCTAAATTTATCTAAAATTTTAAATTATTTATTTAGATGTTTATAAGTAATTTCTTTGCTTATCATTACTTCTTATATCTTTGTCCTAGATTTATTATTTTTTTTTTATCAAGAGAACATCTATTAGTTGACCTTTCAGTCAGAATCTATGAGTGATAAATTATCTCCTTTAAATGTCTTGATTTTGCATTAATACTTGAAACTGTTTCATTGGAACTTTAGAATTTCAGGCTAATGTGATTTTTTCTCAGCTTTGTGAAGATATTACCCCATTGTCTTTCTATATTTTTGCTGAGAAGTAAGCTGTTATAAAATTTTATTTTTTTGTAAAAACTGCATATTTTTTCTCTCTAAATTTTTCTTTTTTAATATTGTGCATTTTTACCATAATATATCTAGGTTTGGATTTTATTTATTTATTGGGTTCAAGATTCATTTGCTTATTTAATTCAAGAATTCATGTCTTTCACCAATTCTGGAAATTTTTCAGCTGTTATTTCTTTGAAATTTTCCTATTCCCAATTAACTCTTTTCTTTTCTACTGGAATTTTTATTCAATGTAAGTTGATATTCTCATTTTATCCTCCCTGGTTCTTCTTTTGCATTGTCTAATTTCATCTTTCTTTTTTGCTTCCTAAATAATATGGTAATTTCTAGCTTGCAGTTTATATATTATTTGTGAGTCCAGCTTTATTTGATGTGAAATTGTTTCAACAAGCCTCAGTTGTATTAATAAACATATTTCTCATTTGTGTATGTTACTTGATTTCCCTTTAAAACTCCTATTCTTTTTCTTGGTGTCTCTTTGCTTATAGGATTCTATTCTTTCCTTTGCACCTGATATAATTTTTAAAATACTTATTTTTAGTTGAGTGATGGGCACATAAAAGCCCTGACTTAAGCATTATAAAAAATCTCCATGTAACAAAAACATATGCATCCCCTTGGTATTTTAAATATTTAATAAAAAAAATTAAAATACTTAGTTTTTTTTTTTTTTTTTTTTTTTTTTTTTTTTGAGACAGAGTCTCGCTTTGTTGTCCAGGCTAGAGTGAGTGCCATGGCGTCAGCCTAGCTCACAGCAACCTCAAACTCCTGGGCTCCAGTGATCCTCCTGCCTCAGCCTCCCGAGTAGCTGGGACTACAGGCATGCGCCACTATGCCCGGCTAATTTTTTTATATATATATCAGTTGGCCAATTAATTTCTTTCTATTTATAGTAGAGACGGGGTCTCGCTCTTGCTCAGGCTGGTTTCGAACTCCTGACCTTTGAGCAATCCGCCCGCCTCGGCCTCCCAAGAGCTAGGATTACAGGCGTGAGCCACAGCGCCCGGCCAAAATACTTAGTTTTGAACACCTTAGATTGCTTTATTTCATAAGTTTTTTGGGTACAAGTTCTCCAATTTGTTGTATGTTCTCTCTCACCCTCATGAGTTTCTCTTTCTTTTCCCCCTCTTTTCCATGTGTTTGTTCTAAGAGCACCAGGTTGTAGAAGCAGGTTCCTGGAGTGATTTTTTAGTTTACATCTGCCAGTGCCCTCAGAGGCTTAATTGGTCCAGTGTCTATTTTTATGTCAATTTTGGGAAGATTTTTACACCTCTAGTATAGTGTAAATTTGAAATTTACACATGCAGAGCATGGTTTTGGGATTTTGATTTCTAGGAATTATTTTTAAAAACCAGAATAGTAGTCAGACACAGAAACCTACTTGTTTCCTGGGACTTTTCAGAGCTTGAGGGTATAATTTCTCTAATTTCATTTTCATCAAGTGGGAAGATTTCCCATGGTTTAAGTCTCATTCTGGGATTACAGTTCCAACTCTGTGGCTTTTCTGGAACTAAGACCCTGTCCTCTGCCCCTGCCTCTGTAGTATTAATACTATTCTGTTCTTTACTCATTGTGCTCATTTTAGATCTCTTATTTCTCTCATCTCTTATTTTAGATCTCATACCGAAGTGTTACCTCATGTGCTTTGCTATTCTGACCTCAAGTTCTTGGGACCTTGGCATTTTTCTGTCTTTCAGGGTCAGCCATAATTTTTCTTTAGTTTCGTTTAATTGTTCTATGTTACTCAGCATTTTTAGTGTTTGGAATGATGTAGACATGTGTATTATTTAAGTCTACCATGTTGTGAGACTTGAATTTAGTCAGTCTTATATGCATGTTTCATTTTTTTGCATAATTATAAATTTACATAGAGTATACATTTGTACTGCCTTTTTCTTATTAGTAAGGTTTTTGCCACATATGAAAAAAATCTCTTGATAAAATATTTATATTCTTTTAGTCTCCCTCTATCATTGTCTAAACAACGTAGATTTGTTGTTTTATTACTAATATTTAGCATTGGGTAGTATATTGATTTTTTTCTAAATTAAGAGATAATGTAGGACACAGATTTTCTGTGTTCATATATTACAGTGACAACTTGCTAATAGGCTAATGAGCTGCACCATGTTTGAATTCTATTAGAAAATCAAAAGAATAGCATTTAAAAAGGGTTTGGTGTCAAAAAAAAAGGGGTCAGATGCCAAAAAAAAGCAGTGTTTAAATAAATTCATTATAGCTTAGAAAGTATGACTTTATGTATCATAAACTACTTTTACTTTTTGATGTTGAAGTCTTGATCTATTAACTTAGGTGCTGACTCTTGCTGTCATAGCTCACAGAGAGTAGAAATCCAGAATGTTAGATTGTTGACTCACAATGACAAATATGTCATGTTTAAGAAATCAATTCTCAGGTTTGATTATTACATTTTTTCTATATAGATAAATATTTGAAAAGAATAATTATCAGATAGCTGTTAGGCTATTTTGGAATCAGAATAAGAAGAGATGTGTTTAACAACTTGATACTTCAATTCCTTTAATAGGAATGTACTCATCCAAAGGGGTCTACAGACATTCATCTGACATTTGCTGTTCCTGGTTGCTAGTACTCAGATAGTCATTTCTTATGTGTTCTCAATGGCTTTTCTGTATCTGTGTTTCTATTGCTAAATAATCTTGCTTAGGGTTGCCATTTACCTTTTTGAATTTTGTTCCTGTCTTCAAGTTCTGGCTAAGTTTTGTTAACATTGGAGGTATTTTCTACCCTTAACATGACTGACTTTGAAGTATTGCTGCTGTTATTACTATGTCTTTATCTACCATGGTTATTACTATAACTAGTTGCTAAGATTTATTTAACTCTTCTTATTACTTAGGCACCATGCTACTTTTTTTGATGTTCATCTCTCATTTAAACTTAGAAAACCACTATGAAGTAGAAATTGTTATTATATCTATTTTGTTGATGCACAGAGTTCTAAATGACTTATCCAACTATCTAGTGAGAAAGTAACAAAGAGTAAGAGTTTATATCTAAGCAAGTATATTTACTCTAGAGCAGTGGTCCCCAACCTTTTTAGCACCAGGGACTGGTTTCATGGAAGACGATTTTTCCATGGATTGGGGGAGGGGGATGGTTTCAGAATGATTCAAGCATGTTATGTTTATTGTGCAGTTAAACCTCTCTGCTAATGATAATCTATATTTGCACCTGCTCCTGAATACTGGCATCATTGCCTCAGCCCCAAGTCAAATCATCAGGCATTGGATTCTCATAAGGAGCACGCAACCTAGATCCCTTGAATGTGCAGTTTACAGTAGGGTTTGTGCTCCTATGAGAATCTAATGCCAATGCTGATCTGACAAGAGGCAGAGCTTTTATGTGGTGATGCAAGCGATGGGGAGTGGCTATAAATACAGATGAAGCTTTGCTCACTTGCCTGCAGATCACCTCCTGCTGTGTGGCCTGGTTCCTATCAGGCCACAGACTAGTACCAGTCTGCAGCCTGGGGGTCAGGGACCCAAGTTCTAGAGCACTGCTACCCTGGTCTTCTCAACCTTCTTTGTAACACCAAATCATAGTATATTAGATCAGGACTGTAGTGATCATCCCTGCTTTATATGTGAGGAAATAGATCTAGAAGGTTGTGTTTTATCTAAAATCAATTACTTACCAGCCAAGCTAGGACTGGAATAATAATTTCAACTATTAGTTCTGTGATATTTCCAATGTTATTTTCCCCCTCTCATTTCCCTTCCACGGCTCACCTTTTTATATGTGAACCATTTAATTTATAGAATTGCCTGGAGAGATCAGTCATGAAATGATTATAGTTACATATTGATTAATGTTATTTACATATCTATATAGAAGTCACATGTTAGCATTCAAATGTGAAGAAATGACTACTTTTGTCATTTCTAGGACATGGACTCTAAATTTTGGGAGGTATGATAATGACTTTTCTTTCTTTTTCTTCTCCTTCTCCTTCTTCTTTTTTTTTCTCTAAGCTACCTATCCTCTTTAACCTAGTTGGAAAGTATGGAAAGTTGTCACTGAGTCTGAAAAATTAGAGGTATATTTCTAAGCTTCAGATAAAACCTAAATGAATAAAATCTGTTTGAAAACTACTATTCAGTATTCATCTATGTATAACTAGTTAAATAACTAGTTCAGAGAGATATCTCCCTAGGAGTATTTCATTATTTAATACCCTGAATGGAAAGTTTGTGACTTTGCAAAGCATAGATACTTCCTAGTTAAAATTTAGAAGCATTATCATTGTCCAGCTGAGATGCTATGTGGGTCAACCATCCTAAGACTCCATCTTTCTTTATTTTTACAATGACTAAAATAGTATGGTAAAAAAAACCTTGAAGCTAGCAATATATAGAACTTATATGACTGTAATCCCAGATGGAAGGGTTTTTTGGTTTTGTTTTTAAATTTTTAGGGAACAATATGCCCATGCAAGATGTCAGCTTGGCAGGTTTTAAGATCAAAGTTCTTTGTTCACATGCACTGTGGCCCCCAACCCCCAGGTCACGAACAGGTACCAATCCTGAGGCCTTTTAGGAACTGGGGTGCAGAGCTCCACCTCCCCGCTCCAGCTCCGCCTCCCCCATCCCCCACCCATCCCCCACCCATCTTCCTTGAAACTTAGGAACCCGGCTCATTGTAAGAGGTGAGAGGCGGGTGAGCAAGTGAAATGCAAAGCTTCATCTGTATTTACAGCCGCTCCCCATTGCTGGCATCACTGTCTGAACTCACCTCCCCTTCCCCCATCTGTGGAAAAAATTATCTTCCATGAAACCTGTACCTGGTACCAAAAAGGTTAGAGGCCGCTGATTACAGAATATATGCCAAGCCTAAGACATTTCCTCTAGTCCATTGTGCTACTAACTCTTAATAATACCTGCCAATTCCAGCAAGGGAGAAAGCAGTTAAGTGCCCATGTTCATCCCTTCTTTGTTGAGCCCTACAGGCAAGGTGACATTGTAATGACGCATTACCAATGTGGAGTCACAAGGAATTGAACAAACTAACCATTATCCTGAGTAACAGCTGAAACATTATTCCTTGACAAAGCAATTCATCAGGTGCCCTCAAAAACTGAGAAGGTTCAAATTTAGGTTTTCAAACTTCAGAACTGACCAATGTAAAATTTAAAAGATTAGACTATTTTATTTTTTTATGGATAAAATCCCCATCCTCTTTTCATTGCTGCTCTTTTATGGAGGATATAGTCTGGATTTATGATAAATTTGTTTTTTTTAACAATACTTAAAACATAATTTTTCAATAAAATTTAATGTAGTTTGCTCAGCTATTTAAAATGTAACAACTGACAAAGTTCATCACTTTAGATTTTGTTCTCATTTAAAAACCTATGTTTTTCCTAACATAATCAACCAATATTTTAACATTGGGGCTGAAATGAAATGAAATTCATCAACTGAAGATTGTTGTAGAGCAGAGTTTGGCAAAATGGGAAAGTCCATTTTTATCAATCTCAACTTCTATAAAGAGATTTTTCACATGAATAATTAGCAAGTATTTATTCAGTGCTCACTCATGGGCCAGTTCCTGTTAGGTCTTGAGGTTATCAAAGTGGTTTCTGCTTCTCATGAATTTACTGTATAGCTGGAAAGACATACAAATAAAGATTGGAACACACTACAGGCAGTGTGGTTAGAAAAAAATGGCAGAATGCCCCTGCCTGTGAGAGGCACCAGGGAATACTACCTACCAGTGGTCAGAGTGGAGCTGAATCTTACCCAATTAAGAGGATAAGAATCAAGTTAGCTGTGAAAAAAGGAGGGGAAGAAGGTTTTAATCCTAACACAATCCTAAAACCACGTGAGCAAACACCACTGGAAACTATCTCGTCTACATAAAACCATCCCACCCAACTTTATCTTAGAACTGCTATATGACTTGGAAAGAGTCTGAGTTTTCCATCCTTAAAACCCCCAACTGGCTTTAGCTTGCAAACATTATATAACTATATAGTTTCTAGTGGTACTTTACTTGTTGATTTTTGCTGCAATAATTATATTCTTTGCGTTTTCCTTGCTGTTTGATATTGCCTTCTTTGGATGGAGGAAGAGAATTTTATTTCATTCAACATTTTTAGGCACCTACTGTGTATTATGCCTCACTCAGTCATCTCTTTTGTCTACATACTGATCTGAATCCAGGGGTTTTTCTATTCATTTTGTCAGTTCATTAAATCTTTAATGTTTGCTTTAAGGTGCACTGCCTATATATTTAGATCTCGAACTTCCTTATGTCAAAAATAATATTTTATCCAAATTATTGTGAAGAAAGTTGTATGCATATTTCTAATGGAAACAATTTACTTCCTTGCGATTTTGCTGTCATAATGCACATAATTACAGATAAGATAGCTCTTGCTCATTGTGTTTATAACTAAAAGAGATCATTTACTTTCTCTAGCTTTTTTCTGTTTTTTCGCAGCTCAGTTAAACAAATACTTCAATACAAAATCCAGTTGCTTTTATCATTCACAAAACATATAGTAAAAAATATTGTTTTCTATTCTCAGATTAGTTCAAAAAATGATAGGAGTTGGTCAAACTTTAGATCTCTGAAAATATTAATATTTAATGAATTTCAAAACCTATAGATACTAAAGCTTTGAAATTTTCCTTATGTAAATTTCAATGATGTGCCAGATAGAACTTTAAGAAATCAGATGGCAGCTCTTTTTTTTTTTTTTTTTTTGGTTAAACACAGTAGCATTTTAGGATAATGTGTGCTAGCTTCTCTGTTTGTGTAACAGTTCCTGAAACGGATCTTTTCAAGCATAGTAACGGGTATGAATTGTGTTCGCCTAAAGGCTGTGAAAACCAGAAACTGTGAAATGGAGTTCAAGCACAGCTCTTTCATAGCTGGCAGAAGTTCAGCTGTAGTTTTGGGTAGTTTGGTCAGCGGTTTCAACAAATACTTTGAAAACTTTATCTATACATAAGCATTTTTGTACTGAGCTGTTGTGAGTTTTGAAAAGTGAATTCTTTATCTTTTCATCCATTACATACTTTCTACTTTTGTGGGAATAGAAACCGTTCATTGAATACATTTGCTAATTTCACTGCCAATTGGAATGTATGAATAATTGATACAGACAGTATTTACTATCTTTCATTGCAAATCCCTTTACACATCATAGCAGGATTATGGCTTAGAAAATGAGGTGGGTGTGACCACATTTCAGAAGTCCAATCTTATTATCCATTGCTTTAAATACTTCTGCTTTATATATATTTTTAAAAGTTTAATTCAATCATAGATATAAGATTATAAAGCAAAAAAGACCTATCCAAACTATTAACATTATCCTATAATATATTTCTTCTGGTCTTCTGAATTTCTGTTTGGAAATGAAAGTTCATGGTCAAATCCACTGGGCTTGGTCAAATCCACTTTAACTATAACATAGTATGGTAAAACTATGGTAAAATTCCACTGAACTCACTTTCCTTTGACAAACCTTTATTAATGCCTGCTTTTGACCCAAATCCATTAGAACAAATAAAATCACTCAAGGAAACAATGTCAATTCTGGGGCTTAGGATTTGTTATGATTTCTTATTTGTAGGGGGTTCCAAAAGATCCCCTCATCCTAAGGTAGTACCATTTTACATTTCCATTTCCATTTCTACTTATGATTTGTAATGCTTTTCGCATGTAAAATTGTATCCATTTCATAAGAAAAGAGTTAGAAGGATGTGGATTTCAATCCTGAGCCTTCTGGTTACTGGGAATGTAACAGAATCTCTCCTGTTCCAGCTTCAGCAGTAGCTTCAGCAAGGGCTGCATGTCCTGGTGGCCTCAGCTCTCTCTGAATGGCTACCTGAGATAGCTTCCCAAGATGGCCCTGGTTCTGGGTTTCCTTTCAGTTGATGTCCAAGCCTGGGGAGAGAAGGAGGGGTTTCCTTCTTTTGCTGATTTTTGGGCTGCCTTAGTTACCCCATAGCTCTTTCTACTTTTCCATGACCTGTGTGAACAATTTCTGAGTTTAAATTCTCTCTGTTTGAAATACCTGGAGTGGTAAATTCCTGACTAGACCCTGACTGATACATCTGTACACATCCCCATTTCCTCCCGTGAAAATGGAGATAAAATTCCTACCTTAGAGGGCTATTCTGAGCACTATAATAGTCAAATAACTCAATGATTAAGTCAGGGGGTACAATACCAGACAAACCAGCAGTGAGAGAAGGGAGCCATGGTGAAAGAAGAGCTAGGAAAGGTTGGTGGAAAGAAAGCAGCTTTAGAACTCAGGAAAATCAATAAGAAAACAAAAATGGGCAAAGGGCATGAACAGAAACTTCTCAAAAGAAGACAGAATAATGGCCAACAAACGTATGAAAAAATGCTCAACATCTCTAATCATCAGGGAAATGCAAATCAAAACCACAATGAGATATCACTTAACTCCAGTGAGAATGGCCTCTATCAAAAAGTCCCCAAACAATAAATGTTGGTGGGGATGTGGAGAGATAGGAACACTCCTACACTTCTGGTGGAACTGCAAACTAGTTCAACCTCTGTGGAAAGCAATATGGAGATACCTTAAAGCTATACAAGTAGATCTACCATTCGATCCAGCAATTCCACTACTGGGCATCTTCCCAAAAGATCAGAAGTCACTTTATGAAAAAGACACCTGCACTTGAATGTTTATGGCAGCACAATTCACAATCGCAAAGTTGTGGAAACAACTCAAGTGCTCATCAATTCATGAGTGGATTAATAAAATGTGGTATATGTATACCATGGAATAATACTCAGCTTTAAGAAAGAATGGTGATATAGCACCTCTTGTATTTTCCTGGATAGAGCTGGAACCCATTCTACTAAGTGAATGGGTTAGTATTCAAGAATGGAAAAACAAGCACAGCATGTACTCACCAGCAAATTGGTATTAACTGATCAACACCTAAGTGGACATATAGTAATAACATTTATCAGGTGTTGGGTGGGTGGGAGGGGGTAGGAGGGAATGGGTATATACAAACACAGTGAGACATGCAACATTTGGGGGCTGGTCACGCTTGAAGATCTGACTCAAGGAGGGCTGGAGGGCATGGGCAATATAGGTAACCTTAACATTTGTTCCCCCATAATATCCTGAAATAAAAAAAAGAAAAAAGAAAACAGCATTTATAAGATTTCCTGTGTGCTAAATACACTAATCCTGTAGGTGATGATCCTTATTTTTAAAGGTGAGAAAAATGGGGATCATAGATGATATAAAGCAGAACAGAGTTACTTCTTAGGGCATTAGAACCCATGTCTGGCCAGGTTCCAAATGTATATATTTTTTGTCTTATTTTCCTGTCTACCATGATGACTGCTTTGAAGAAAGTTCCAGATATAAACTACCTATTAAACCGTGTTGAGTGGGGCAGGCTCTGTCTTTCAAGGATGTGATTTGTAGGCATTGACAAAATGCAGAATAAAATGAGTGTGAATCAGAAATGTTTTGCTTCGAATTGCCCATATTGTCCATATAAATGCCACCTTAAATTACCATCTGTTTCCCCTTTTACTATAAGATGTTTTGTGCAATGGGTCCAGTAATTCATTTTTTTGATAATCAAAATAAGTCAAGCAATAGATTCAGAAATTATTTGTGGAAAATAAATATCTCTGATTTGAAGCAGAAAGGAATACCTTAAAATAAATATACCAGGTGTGGACATTATAGCAGGTGCAAATTCCCACCTCAATTTTTAAGTTTGTAAACCTTAGAAGAACTTGCAGAAGTTTCTCTGTGATAAAATTAAGGATTTTTAAAATTTGTTAAAGGAATTCCTTTGTGTTTTTGGCAGTTTTACAGACCAAACATTATAGTTTATGCAAGGAAAATTACATGGAAAAACGATTTAATAGCATGACAGGATACATGAAGAGGACTTCAAAAGCTCTTGCCAGCTGTGGAGGGTGAGCTCATATTTTGTGGAATGGAGCAGAGAAGGCAGGTGAGCACAGACCTCGAATTTCCCACATGTGAGATACCTGGGAGGTCTACAGGCTGCTTTGAGAAAGGATGATTTAAGGAAGGGAAGCTAACTAGACACACATAAATCAGGGAACTAATATTGATAAAATAAAAAGGAATCTCAAGGAATGTGGACATCACTTCCAAGAATTTTGTTCACATTCACTTAATTGATTTTTACTTTGTTCCCCATGAGATGTTTTGTTTTTGAATTCATTTGCCCAGGGCCATACCACCCTGGATTGTGATCTTAGCTTTTATAGACTGAGCAAAGCTTAGTCCAAAGTTAGGTTGTGGGGGCGGGGGCAGGGGGAAGACCACCCAGGAGAGTTGTGCATGGGATCACTTAAAACCAGCCATGCAAATAATATAGATTCTAAAGTTGGAACCTAAAAAAATAAATCTGGTATTGAGACAGAAAGGTAGAAAAGAGTTTTCTGATCTTTGATGACTGTACTTGAATTATTCTATTTAATCTTCATTTGATGTTTATATTGTAGGATACTATTTGGGGAAATTCATAGGTAACCATTTGGTAGCTACTCCATATCTGGCACTAGGTTAAGTAGTTCACATGACTGTCTCATTTAATCTCTCAATAACTTTCTGAAGCATGCACTGTTATTACCCCTGCTTTGCACATGAGGAAACTAAGGCTCAAGGATGCTAAATCTATTGGTGTAGTAAGAGAAAGCTTGAAGAGGATGAGAAGAGACAAAGGGTCGGATTAGTGAGTAAGACTTAGCCTATGAAACAGCGCCAAGGTTTTACAATTTTTAGGAGTCTAATGACTTTAAGACATTTCAAAAGTTAACTTTGAGGCTGTAGGAGTAAGCTAATATGCTGCCACAGAGATGCCATCTCTTGGGAAAATTTGCTTCAAAAAACCTTTGGTACTCCCTAAAGAAAAGAAGAGCCTTTTTAAGCATAAAGGGATAGTGACCCCAGGATTCATGCCAATCTCCAATTTATCTAAAATTCTTCCCACAATTTCAACATGCTACCAGCACTGACTGTAACTGGATGTGACTGTGAGAATACATAAAGTATGGCTGTGTCATTAATCAGGTGTGATCTTTCAAAGTATCATAAATTCCAGTGATCAATGCCAAGTCTCATTTTGATGAGTCGGGGACTAAACCTATGGATCAGCCTGACAGAGACAAATAAGAAACTAAATAGGGATGTGACAGTCTTTTAGGAGTGGGGGCTACTGGTTAGATTTTTCAGACATGTCATTTGTAAAAAAAATGGTGGATAATTTGTACCTCTGCATGTCCCTTGTTTACGATTCCTTATTCATGTAAGTGGAATTTAGTGTCATTCTCTGGAGATTTTATTTATTTTGGTTTGAAATAAAAAATGTTAGCCCTTAAGTGCTTATTTTTCAAAGCATATGTTATTTCTGCCAGAGTTTCAAATTTTAGGATGATTTCTCTAAAAAATTTTTTTTCTGAGAATGTAATACTATTGATAACTGAATTTTGAAAATTTAATAACAATGTGAACAAAAATAGATGTTTGCTTTTTTATTTGTTATAATACTTACAAGTCTTACAGCTGTTTAAATACAATTTTTAAAATATATTTCTTGAAAAGCAACAGAATGTAATCTGTGTTATATGTCAACTAACTTCACTATGGCATTCATTATTATTCAAGGTTCAGTCGGTGCTTGTTTGGGAAAGTAGAAGCTGCGCCAGGTGTCTATGATAATGCACAGAGTCAGAGGCATTCACAGTCGTGGGAAATCAGGAAAGTGACAGGCAGAAAGTTGTAACTAACTCTCTTAGCCTGCAGAATGGAAATGGTGGGCCACAAGAGCTTGCTTTGGAGATGCTGCAGACCTCAAGTAACTGAAGGAAGCGCCATATGACTATATTAGCCAGTTGCACTGAAGTGAGTGATTACTAAGAAGCTTTATCACCTATCTCAGCTGACTATAGCACCTAAGTGGGTGGTTAGCATAAGTTCACCTTGAACTTCCTTCAAACTTCACATCTGATATCTATTCATGATCCGGCTGAATCTTCCTCTAATGAATAACATCATTATCTTCCCTTTTACTTTCCCAAGCTTACGTAAGTGACTGTCAGAGATGGAATCTAACTATACAGAAAACCATACAGGGAAAAGGATTCTGGGAGATGTAGTTCCAGTCTTTTCTTTTGCTATGAAGAGAAGATCATCAAAAGGGATGGCAATGAAGTTGACTCCACAACAGTTGATTCGGCACAGTCCACTCACATTTAAACTTCTGGCCACTGTACCATCACCAGTAACAAATCATGGCACACACACACACATATCCCTCTTATGACCAAAGACATGCTTACTTCTTCTGTTACATGGGAGGGTCAAAGTCCTGTATGTCTCCATCTCCATCTCTAGATCATACTCATTTCTTTTATAGCCTAGTCAAAGGTCTCTCTCTCTCCTCTCTCTGTCTTATACCCTATAACTTAAAGACCAAATTACAAGGTTAATATTATGAAAACAATATATGTTAGAAAATGGGCTGAAGACTTTTCTTTTTACTTCATAGTCATGAAGAGGAGCTATATTTGAGCCTGATAAGGAATCATCAGGCATTATCTATAGATCCTGGACTTGGAGTTTGCAACTGTGACCATGTAGGTTCTTTCCTTTGTAAGTGTAGTTGCCTGTAGAAAGGAGAGTAAACAAAATATTTGGGAACCAAAAATGCAGGATTTTTGTCATTAGAGGTTTTTATCAAATATTTCTGTTCCATTTAAACAAATGGTGGCGTTGCATTTCTCCCATGCTTATAAGTAGGTATGGCCATGTGACTCGTTTTAAACAATGATATGTGAGCAGAGATTTGTATGTCACATCTATTTGTGAGCTCCAGAAACCAGTGCAAGATTTGTCACACTCTTTCTCTCTCCTGTGGATACTGGCATTGTTACAAACACCAGCTGCTCCATGAACCTGGGCCTCAGAATGCAGATGATGAGTAACAGAGCCTGACCTAAGCTCAGATAGGCATATAATGTGCAGAAAAAACATAATCTTTTACTGTACTAAACAAATACGATTTGGGAGTTTTTTTGTTATTGCACCTTAATATATCCCATTCTGAATAATGTGTTCGATATTAAGTATGAAAATAAATGTATGTATCAAGTCTTAACTCATTCCAGCATCAATTCTAGAAAAAGAGAAAAATACATACATTTACCAAGTTTCAAAGCCCAAAACTTATGAATACTGGAAGAGTAAATCTTAGAAAACAATCTTGATATCTAATGCAGCTTAGAAAAAGAAGGATATAGAACAGGTTTAATAAATATATTTCTGATTGTATCAAGGTTTATTATATAGTGTAGATATTTTTCATAAAGTTTCATCACAGTTTAGAGCGTGAGTGCTGAAGTGTTATCAAATCACCACAGTGATGATTTGTCTACATAATATTTGGATGTGCTGCTGACCAGCAATTTTCTATCTGAGGCTCACAACGATGATCTGAATCAGTCAATTGGTAGACACACGTCTAGCATTATTCCAGGTGCTTGTGGACATAGACAAGTAGAAGTTTTGTATGTCAATTTGTCCAATTTGTCCAATTGAGAAAATTTGGTACCTATTCCCTTCTCCAAAGACAGTATTTTTTTTTTTAAAGTGACACCAATACAGAGAATTCAGTACATTCTGTTTTATAAAATCAGTGCATAACTAAAATTAAGGCACTGACGTGTGTAGGGGAAGTCTACCTCAGTAAAATAAACAAGACAGACCAAAAGGGTCAATTTTTCAGTTCTTAGCAGCTGTGTTACTTGGCTTAAATACTTGAGTTTTGACTTCTAATTTCCTCTTATTATAACTTACTCACAAATTTGTTGTAAGGCTTAATCAATGTGTCAGACACAGTAGTTGCTCAATATATATGTTGGGTTTCTAATATTCATCTTTATTAACCTTATCTTGAATATTCACATGAGGTATTTTGGATCAGAGATCAATGTGTTGTCGATTACTTAATAGTAAATAATGTGTCAGCCTCCCTGCCCCACTGCTTGTCTCTGGGGCAATGTAATGAGAAACAATATTTTTTTTTCCACATGACTAGCCAAAAAGTGCATAGGCAAAAAATGAGCAAAAATGACTTTTCTCTGTTTATAAAGGGAAAGGAAGTAGCTGCCCCCCTCCACATCTGCAAGGGTCTCCTTGGAAATGTAATTGGCCTCAAACCTAACTTTTATTTGATATTGGCATTGACCAAATGCTTTGATATATTTATTGACGTATGTTTATATCAATTGAATTTTGAAATGTATATATCAATTTTTCAGAAAAAAAGTGGTGGCTGACTTTTCCAATGTTTTCCAATAATAGAAAGGCTTCAGCCACCCAGATTGCGTGGCACAACATTTTCCTTCTAACAATCCTTTAACTCAGCTGTTTGGAAGAATTAAAAACAAAAGTTTCAGAAACTGACAATGTCCAGAAGGCAGTGACGTGTGGCCAGGGCACAGGGCAGTAGCTGCAAGATGTTTTCTTCTGAATCTCACTAGAAAGTCATGGAGCATGCAAAACTCTTTTTTGGACAATGTGAGATTGAGCAGGAAAATGCACTCCAATTATGGGCCTACGTAAATATCCAAAGGGAACAAAGAGCATCAGTCAGGAGGCTATTGTCTTCCTAATTATGTTCCAAATTGGAAATGGCAACTTGTTTTCTTCCTCACATAATAGTTCTCTAAATAAATTGTCTTCTCCCGCTGCCTGCTTCTCTCTTGAGGATTTGGTTATTTAGGGACAAAGAACTCATGGCTGTGAAAAGCATGGGTTATGAGCCAGCTCCCTGCCCTGAGAGAAAAAAAGGGAATGAAAGCTGAGGTTATGATGTGTTGAAAATCTGATACTTTTTAACAATTTCATTTGTTGTGATTTGGGTCCCATGGAAGACTTTCACAAATTTTATGAATATCTTATCTGACTGTTAGAATATTGACT